AACTTTATGAAATACTTTTATAAATGTTATAAAATATGAATGTAATGTAAACAAGATTAATATATTCACACAATATACGTTACAAAACTACTAATATACCTAAGTAATTGTGCACACAGCTTGATCTTGAATCTTTAACTCAGGTATGAATGGCTTTTCATCATATATAGATATCCTGAAAAAAATTAAACAAATGACAACCACTAGGAAACAAATTAGCTATAAATTGTTTCGCAAATCATCATAAAAAAAGGGCCAACAGGTTTAGTTCCCTCAGAATGCAACTTTGAAAATAATAGTGAACTGAAAGAAAGGGGAGCAAGCATTACATGGTGGACAGAGCATTAAAATAATAGTGATCCATAATTAGTACAATATATTATGAAAAAATGAGATACTTATCATTAGTCTATTAGAAATTTGCATAGGAAAGATTAAGAGTCATTTTGCTAAAAAATGGAAAGATAACTGAGAAGGAAAATTTCTTAGAGGTACAAAATGGCAGCAGCCAGTAGGTGATTTCTTTGAGATGAAGAACCTTTTAGTCTAGCTGACACGTGACAATGCTAAAAAAATGCCAACTGTCGAATTTAGTGGTAAGAGATTTAATATAGTATATAGATGAGAGCATCAGTGTCTTCATTCATGATGGATTGTTGAGGGTGGTGGTAATGGGGGTAGGTAGGAGTAATTGCGGGGTGTAAAGCTTTGATTCTTTGGTTGTTTGGATTATTGAAAAGAAAAGAGAAAACCAGGGAAATGTAGGCAGAGGTGAGAATTAAAGGTAAGAGGGGAACTCTAAAAGAGAGGGAGCTCTGATGAACTAGCACCGGAGAAGAGGAGAGGTCGACTAGAGGAGTTAGGCGAGGCCTTGTTCACTTTGTGCAAGTGTTAAAGTATCAGGTTTTTTTCCCCATGCACTTGCACAAGTCTTGTGAGACATGTAATTGCAGAGAAGTGTGAAATCTTGGTAACACATACATTGAGAGATAGTGGGGAAATTAATTTGCTAGTATGGAGATTAATGGATAGAATTAAGAATTAATGGTACTGAAGTTATAGGTGTGTGAGTAGGGATGTCAATTTTGGCCTATACACATTTACCCACCTGGCCCGCCCATCATTTGGCCCGCCCGACGCCCACTCATTTAATTAAATGGGCCTAATTGGGCGGGTTCATTTTACATTATTCTAAATGGGCACTAAATGGGCAGTGTTTATTCGCCCGTTTGCCTGCCCACCCGTATTCCCAAAACCGAAACAAACAAAATCTGGTCCCAAATTCCCAATCTCCTCTTTCTCATCCGCCTCAATCCTGATCCCAATCTCCCCCGCCTCCTCCTCCGCCTCCTCCTCCTCCGCCGCCACCTCAAGTGCCTTTCGAACCCAAAACCTACGACGCCAATCGATCCTCCTCCGCCGCCTCAACCGCCTCTCGAACCCGAGCCTCCGACCCCAATCCCTCCTCCTCCGCCACATCAATCGCCTCTCGAACCCAGAGCCTCCGATGCCGCCTCAAGTCGCCGCTGAAGTCGCCGCCTCT